CCGCCAATCAAGGGTGTTCTGGATGTCCTCCAGGTCTTATTTCTTGTTGATCTTCACAATGCGTTCCCAGCGCTCTGCTCTTTTGAGCTCTTCACGAAGTGTGAACCAGTCATCCCTCCAGACCCCAAATTGAGTGCAATCCCAATTCCTTTCCATGAGGTAACATTGAAGTGCTGCAACAGGACCTTTTGCCACTTGCCACGGGCATTGGGCCTGGCTGAGCTTCTCCTTGATGGCATGCCACGCTCGGTCCAGGCACTTGTGGGTGGCTTCCGGCCAATTGCCATAGAACCTCCTGTAAGTGCGGACTTGGGCCATGAAGAAATCATAATCTGGATCTTGGTATCTACCTTGCATATCATCCAGGATATCGATGTTGCCTGTGCGTTGAAGGCCAAGCTGCCTACCCATTGTGGTCTTGAATTTCCTCCTTACTTGAGGTGCTAAGCCCATGGCCTCGTGCCCCCAAGCAATGCCAACAACTATACTGCCCTTGTACTGTTTGAGTCGAATGCTTCTTTGAGGAATCTTGAGTGTGGCTAGCTTTTTGGTCTTCCTGGCAGCCTTGCCACGCCTAATGCGCATGGTTTGTATCCGCCTAAGGCGGCCCGCCGTGCAATCCACTCCCAAGTCCCTCATCACATCGTGGACCCCAGGTCCATTTGCAGGCAGTTGTTGTTGCAAAAGCCGTTTGGCTGTGCTGTTGGAGGCGATGAAACCTATCTTCTTCTCAGAAATCTTGAGGTTGTCTTCTTCAAGAAGTTGCTTGATATATTCATAGGCTTGGATGGCAATCCGAACTGCATTAGCCGGGTCCCTGTCCACCACATCGAAGGACAGGTCGTCAATCCACAGGTCCGTGTGGAGCTAAGGATACTTCTTATGGAAGGTTTTCAAAGCATTGTACAGGTAGACTTTGGCCGCAAGAGGAGCTTGTGGATCACCCGCCAGGATGCCATTCTCCGTCCAGAGCTAATTGGAAGCCTCGCCTTCCGCCTCCAGGATGCGGCCTCCCAAATACAGCTGCATGGCAAAAACTGCATGAGTTGGTGGATAGTTTGAATCCAGCCACCTGTTGCAAAGGGCCTCAAGCTTGATGCGGTCATAGAAGTTGGACATGTCCAAAAGCACAGACACAACCGTTCTTTTCATTGAATTGTGGTGTTCAGTGAGGAAGGCTCGGCGCAGGGGTTGCTCTCTCCCAGGGGTAGTCCTCTGCCAGGGTGGCTTGCCACTGTGTGGTGAAGGAGCTACGGAGGCGACACCAAAGTCTGTAGAGGGTAGCCACCAGGGCTATGGGCCTTTCGATGTCAGTTGACTTCGGCAACAAGGCGATCAAGGATGTGGTCCATTGCTGAGGGATCACTGCTTGTGCCCAGCTGATGAAACACTTGAGCAATATCTTGCATGGCCTGGTATGGAAGGGCCTTCAGGAAATCAAAGCCAATGTCATCCAAGCCCGGTGCCTTTAAGCTGAGGTGTTTGATCGTGTGCCAAATCTGCTTGGGGTGGAGCGGTGGCATGTTCTGTCCAAATTCGGCTCCTTGCCGAATGAGTTCTTGGAGCTGCGGAAGATGGAGTGGTTCTTCTCTAATGCCCCAAATGTGTCCCCACTGTTGTTTTCGATTCTCCATCCTCTCTTGCCTGGGCTGATCTTGAAAGGGCCTCAGATAGGCCAGTTCATCCTTCTTCAAAGTGCGGTATAGGCCTCTGCATCCTTTTTGTGTTGTTTTGATGAGCCATTCTCTGTAGGTTTGCGTCTCTGCGTCAATCGCCTGTTTTTGATGAAGCTCTCTAAGTTGTGCAGTGTGCTTCAACAACACATGTAGATGTTCTTCATCATGTTGCCCCCACAGCATCTGAAATAACATGCGGAAACTATCTGCAGTGATGTGACAGTCTCCATGCCAGTGTTCCTCCGGACCTGCATGATGGTGCCCATCGTGGTGGTCATGAATTCTTCTGGGGAAATATTAAAATCTCCTGCAATGATGATTTGTTTCGTCATGCTAGTGACAAAGGAGATGAGCCCTGCCCAAAGCTGTGCATTGATGTGGCCTTGGATGCCCTCCCCCGTACGGAAATATGCCATGACCAGAATGACGTCCAAGTTGGCAAAGGTCCATTGTGCTGCACTCCAACCACAGTCCTCAATCACCTGCTTGTGAATGAAATGGAAATGCATGTGTGCTGGATATAGCAGCATGTGTCCTCCATGGGTGCCCCCTTTGATGCTCTCAGCGGCCGGCCAACCCAAGACCCCAAATCCACGTACTGCAAACCATTGACTGATTTTGGCAGAGTCCTCTTGGTTGAGGTGAGTCTCCACCAGCATAATTGGAGTTCGAGGCCTCGAAAGTGCCATTGCCGTACTTGTTGTCCTAGCCGTGTGACATTGGCAAAGGCAAAGTTGATGCCAACCAGCTTCTTCCGCTTTTGGGGAGGTCGTTCATCAGGTTGCTCGATGCTGCTGCCACCACAAATTCACTTTTGATGTCCGCAGGGGGGAGTTCCACTGAAGGAATAGCCCAAACCTGCACTATCTGCCTCTTGATGCTGTCAATGAGCGCAAGGATGGGCCGTGGGTAGGAAACGTCATCAACCAGCCAATATACGCCACGGTATACGAAGACAGCATAGTAGTGCCCTTATTTGTGTTGCTCTCCAAAATGACACAGGAGTCCTATCAGAGAGTACTGCTCCGTTTTTGTCATGTTGCCGTCATCCGTAAAGGGAATGTTGCAAATCGTGGGCACATTCAGGACCTGGTGGTATTTTGTCCATTCCCCGTCTTTCAGCTCGTAGCGGCCAATTTGACCCATCCAAAGGCCTCTGCCATCAGCCACTTGCCCTGCAGGTGTGTTTGCCCATTCGGAGATGAGCTGTTCCAACTCTTGTTCATGTTCCGTCCACGGGGAGATGAGGTGGGTCGGAAAGGATTCACGTCTGTGCACTTGTTGCCTGTAGTCCACATGGTAGTAACCCTTGATCACCTTCTCTGATTTTGTAAGGCGGGCCAAGTCCATGAGGAAATGTGAGGCATCATCTTGTACTTAATCGTCAAATGTCTGCTAGAGCTGCCTCAAAGTAGGCAATCTGGTGATGTTCACCACTCCTTCATCTTTGAGAGCCGCAATGATTGCCGCTCCCGTTTGGTTCCAAAGCTAAGGTCCACCTAGAAAGCTGCCCGCCCAAGACCAAAGCCGGAAAGGTGCATTAGCAAAACACCTGTTCCGGTAGTTTCCTGTGCGGCATTGGAGATTCTGTAGGACATAGTCCAAGGTCGACTGTCCTGATGTAAAAGGGTCCTCCACCAGGATCATGTTCTCATCATCAATTGCAGGCTCATATTCTGCCATGTTGCCTGTACCCCCACAAAAACTTGGAACAACAAAAGACCGCTCCTGAAAGGTCAGCAGCTCTTCATCCGCTGACGTCCCAAAATCACAGGTGTTCTGCACCTGTGTCTGCCCCTGTTGGTCTGAATCAAAGTGCACATAACCATCAGGCAAAATTGCATCAATCATCCCAAGATGCCTAGCCGGAGACGCCCATGTGGTTTCCCCTGTATTTGCCATCTTATGTTCTTGCAAATGGTTACCCGCACTTCCTTCTTTTTATTGCCGTTTCCTCAATCTGCCGTGCAAAATCCGTGACCTGCTCTACAATAGCTTATACACCGACTTTGGCCAGGATTATCATAAACTTTTCTGGTGCTAAGGTGAAAGCTTCATCTTCAGCGGCAGCTTCTATCTTCTCCTTCTCGATCTGCTGATTGTACAAGGTAGTTGTGTCCTGCAATTCCTTCTGAGTTGTTCCGATCTTTGCCTGCATTTCCTTCAACTCTTGCAGTAGAGTAGTATATTGAGCTTTGATTGCATCCGCTTTGTGCTGCAAGGATTGTTTGAGCTTAGTAGCCAAGGTGGGTTCAAATTTGTCCGGCTCCACCAGTTTGCCGATTGCCTGCTTGAGGTCACTCGGCAAATTTTCCAAATGCTCCTTGATCAAAATCGACAAGTCCTGAGGTGCTGGTGGTGCCACAACCTGCAAGCCAATGGCTTCACATTGGGTCTTCAGGGCACTATCTCCCAATGCTCTTGCACCGCTTTCTATAAAGCATTGAACTTTTTTACCTTCTTAGTCTTCTTCGTCCGGTGGCCTCCTGTTAGGCCTCCTGTTAGCCCTCGTGGTGGTTCCAAGAGAGATTGCTTGTAAATCTAGAAAGGCCATTTGTGACCAGCTTGGTTGAAATTCCATTAAACCCATTGTGTCTGTCGTCTATCAACCTTAAGCTCTTGTAGGCCTTGTCCTTGCCAAGCAATTCCATTGGCTGCATATCAGGGTCACGGACCAGTCTGTCCTGCCAAATCCAGCTGCGACTACAATGCTAGCAAACCAGATATAATCATTGCATCTTCGTTCTTGTAGAAGCCCTTGTCGTTAAGACCACCTCGTGGTTACCAACGTTGAAAATAGGCGCGACCGTTCGCCGCGTGAACCGATATTATATAGATCCGATTTGATGCTAAGACAGCTTAAACCAATAGATTTTTATATGTATAAAATATCATATATATATATATTATCATAATTCATTATATCTATAATTTTTTAATATTATATATATTTACCTATATAAAATAACATATATCAATTTAAAAAATATAATATAAATTAATATCAAAAATATTTAAATATATTATATATAATTTTAAATATATATTTTTTAGATATATTAAAAAATATATATATATAATATATATATAAAAAATAAAAAAAATAAAAAACAATATTTCTATATTCGAACAAATTATATAAATATTCGATTATATTAATAATTCTATCATTTCAAATATCTTTATATCAATAATATAGAGATTTATATATATATATATTAAATTTATAGGATCAATATATTGATTATTTGAAGGAATTGATATCATTAAATATATTTTATATATTTTAATATATATTTAACCAATTAGCAATTGGTTGTGTGGCTGGATTCCAATTTGCGCCCAACGCGTGGAAAATCATGATTTCCAATAATTTCCTCAACCTCAAGGGCAAAGGCTTTGACAATTGTGAGTTAGAAGAACAAGAATTGGCAGGAACACAAGAAATTGTTCATGGTGAAGGCGGCTTGGGGAGTGCCGCACGAAGAAATGACGGCGCTGACAATGACCTCTCTTCACAACTCAACCTGCCTCCAGCACAAAGTCCTGTCGCGCCTTCTGTTGCCCAAGCCAAGCTTTTGCTCAGGCAGAACAGGATCAAGTAGATCGTGGATGTGTTGCCGATCTCCCCTTTGTCCAACTAAAGGCTGGTTGTGCAAATGACGTCAGTTATCCGTGTCGGTAGAACTCCTCAGCAAAGAGCAACCTTCCCAAGAGCTTCAAGACCTGAGCTTCCAAAGCTGAGCTAACTCTGGCAGAATCGTGAAAAAATCAAGAGCTCTTGAGGTTCTTGATTGATTCAGACGAAATCTGCGACAAGTGAAATACAAGAAGACTTGTGGAGATCACACTGTGGGCCTTGTCTGCTTGTCCTCTGGAGCAGCTGGCCGAGCAAGGCCACTTTGTTGCCAACAATCTGAATCACCAAACCTCAAATCCAAAGGCTGGGCAAGGTGAAGGTCCATAGCTCATGAGATTCGCGGATCTAAAGCTACACACATCATCTCCCCAACTCACAATGCAAATCAATGCAGTCCCGCTGGCTCAAGGAAATGGACGTCGGTTGCAAAGCATGCAACGCCATGACCGGCCATGACCCCCAAGCAATTCAAAGCTTCTTGCCACCTTTGAGCTCTTTGGCATGAGGTGAGGGCCGCCACAAAACCTGGCAACATATATAGAATGACACAACTTTCTCCGGACTTGAGACACGTGGCTCCTTCCAAACACGATGGAGAGCACAGGCGTTTGGGAGTGCACATCACTTTTCAATATGCTGCACTTCAAACTTCAAACAAAGGTTTATGCGTTTTACCTTCTTTCATATGGCATCATATGGTCCTATCACGTCGGATTCGTGTGGCAGGTGTGGAAGTTGTTGACACTTCCACAACATTTCTATACTGGCATCACTGAAGGGTCTACAAGGCTTCTCAGATTGAAAATTGACCCTGCGCATCTTCCCAGCACACAGGATTGTAGCCAGAAGGGGTGGTATTCATTGTCAACATAAGGAAGCGTGCAGCCTGTTCGTCTGGCCAGTGCATTCTGTTGTACCTAGCGGTAACAACTTAAGCTCCCTCAACCAAAACATAAGTATCATAAGTCTAAGTCAAGGAGCTGATCTCAGAGGTTTGAATCTGTTGGAGCCACATCTCTCCTCATAATACAGGAAGGATCTGCGCCGCGAGTGTTCGCACACTTATGTTCAGGACAAAAAAACCGCCCAGGGGACCTACAAACATACATCCTTGGCGAACGCAAGAGGAGAACCCTGATGCAGCGAGAGTCTGAGGAAGTGAAGTGCCAAGTGCCAGTGGCACTCACAAGCACTGATGGCTGCATTGAACACAAAGCTGTCAGCTTCAATCCTCAAACATGGCTGTCGGCACATGGCATAGAACATATGGGCAAAAGGGATGGAAAAAGGCAAAGGGAGTTCCAAATGTCATGGTCCATGAGTGAGTCCCGATTGGTGCAAACCAATCAAGGTGGCCTATATTTATTTCACAAAATAGAGTGGCATGACAATGCTCAGTCACCAATTCTTGGCCACTTCGTTGAGAAGGTGCAGAACCTCTTTCCAGCGTTGCACTCTTGCCAGTGCACGTGCTGTGGCAGCATAGCCTAAGATGCCATGACTATCCATTCCTCATTGCGCCTCTTGCCTGACAAAGTCCACACAGTTGGGCCATCTTGGCCGCAATGCGTCCCTGGTCTATTGAAAGTCAGTGCTCGATTGTGCTCGAACCAGTGTCAGCATGCCCCAAACTAACCCGTGCCTTTAGCTCCGCCAAGCAGCTGATCACTGTAGGCTGCACCTGGTACATGCTGTTGAGAAGATTCAAGGCAGATTGCCACAGCGCACATTTCTCCACTGCACTGATGACGGCATTGTGACCTTCAATGTAAGAGAAGGGAGTTGCCATCATGCAGCTTCGGCCTGGAGAACATTGGAGAACTGAGCATGCGACTGATTTCGTCCGGCTGCAGGGATGTGTCCTCACTGGTACCGTGGAGTATCAAGTGTGGTCCGAGCAGGCAAGCTTCTTTAGAATGGCTGGGTGTCAAATACAAAGCCGCCAGAAAGAAAGACACTGAAGGACACTCACACACACCACGTTTACTTGTCATGTATTCACATGTATTCACTCTTCAATGAAGCCAAGGTACCAACATGTCCTTCCAGAGTTGGACGGACAAATGCCGATGGGCCTTCTCGGAGGCACCTGGAGCTGCCCATGCGAAAGGCAAGCAGTTGCGATTCTTTTTGCTTCATTGCTTGATGATCGATGGAATCTGTTGAGGATTTGGCTGAGCATCATGTTGAACTCGACCTTCCATGGGCACACCTTGGGCAAACAAGTATGACGTGTGATCCACGCCTGTCTGTCAGATGAATGTACATGTCAAGTACAATCTATATAGATACTACTCCGGGGAAAAACAACATAGACCGTAATTTTGGCATTCAGCGTAGCGTGTCCGGGGTTTCCTTAGGTGGCTGTTCTGCGGCTAGGCTCAAAGGGTTTCAGGATAGCCGGGGTTGGGGTAACATGGCGGCCATTCGTGTCGCCCTTGCTTCGATCCTGCTCCTGTGTGACCCGTTGGCACGGGTCTCCGAATCTTGGGGGATTGGAGACCTTGGCATCCCCTTTTTGCAAAGGGGAAATGACACGTGCCCGGTTGGGAACACCTGCTCAGCCAAAGAGGGCAAAGATGAAGGGATCCGAGGCGTGCCTTCGCGCCCGGATCCTGAACCCCAACAAGGGTGGAAGTGGCCATGGAACTTCACATGGCTCATTAAGATCAGTTTGCGGCTCATCTCAGACGCAGCGAGCTCCAGTTTGGAGTACTGCGGAACTTTGTGTGCCTCGATTGGTCTAGCAGCTCGGTGGTCTTACTGGCTCGCCACAGCTGTTGTGGCCATCTTCTTGTTGCAACTCCTCGTTTGGACCTGCAACTGGATTTTGGTGCCCATCTATCGCCACACCATAGCCGTTTGGAAGTACTTGAGAGGGTATGGACAATGGTATGAAGTGGCACAACTGCAGGGCGTGCGGGTCTTCAGGCCTAAGTGGGTGGGACCACGTGGTCGAGAAGAATGGACATCCGCCTTCGTTCAACAAGAAGTGAGGGGTAGAGGTGACGGCCGCGAACCTGTTGACTTGCTGGTCACCGACGGTACTGCGGTGGCTCGCTTAAGGCATGGAACCTTGCGCGGAAGAACAAACCACCACGGTTTCCGAGCAGAATGCGACTCAGTCCATGCATCTTCGCATCGGTACTACCGTAATCAACTGAAGGGAATGGAATGTCGGGTACATCTATGCGTGCAACATCCGTGTGGGCAACCAGATGATGACTGCATGCACGCGGTGGCGGCAGCTGTGATTCCGAGGGGAATGGAGTTCGACTTGCAGGATGCAGCTGGAAAAGGCCCGATGGCCCGGTGCGCGACAGCAGCCTGGTTTTGTGGATACACCAGCTTGGAGGTTTTTGGATCGATCTGGAAGGGAATCAAAAAGTTCCTTTACACCTGCATCTGTTGCTGTGGGTGTTGCGGCAACAGACGCAAAACTAGGCGTTTGAGGAACCCACCAAGTAGCGAAGCATCGACTCCGAGGCACGAGAACTCTGAGACTGAATCCGAAGGAGAAGAAGGATCATGCCAAGCGGAGTCAGTAGCTTTCTTGGTGGGCTTGAAGGCAACGCCATTGTCCTTAACCCCCTGCAAAGACGCCTCAAGAGGGAACAAGATCAAGCTGTTGCCCTCCGACGCGGAGATCAGCAGCACCGAAGACCTGCTTCATGAGGATGGGAACTTGTATTTTCGAGGGTGCAACCATCACCGAGCCCTATATGAAGGACAAGCTGCTAGGCGCACCTGTGCCTTTGAGGGCTGCGACAACGAGGTCAAGTCGAGCAAGAATGGGCTCCGGCTGTGCAAGTTGCACGGCGCCAAGGAGGATAAAGGAAGGACCAACTCCAGGTCGAAATCTTCTTCGGAACCCCCTCGCACCCCTGCTGCTCCCAGCGTGTCCAGTGGAAGGGAAACCGAGGCGCGTTTCGCGCCCGGTTTACCAGACGCCAGCTTGCGACCTGAGGGGAGGCAGATCACGCATCAGACCACCTCCCTCAGCCAGTACTTGAAGAACATCCTTGAGGGTAAGACAGAATGGGCGGCGTTGAAGGAATGTGCGAGCCAAGATTGTGGTCCAAGGGAAACCTGGGAAAGCTTGAAGGAGCAAGCGGCTGCGTACGCTGCTCGGCTGCCCAAGGACTATCCTGTGGAAGCACGCAGAGCCGTCGTTCGGCTTTTGATTGAAGAGTGCCCGGAGCCTGACTGGGAAGAAGGACACATTGACCCTGTGCTAGCCCTGAGTCCGGAGAAGGCCCTCAGATGTCCAGGTTGAGGAGGATAGAGGCCCAGTTGAAGCGCTCCCACAACCGGCTAGGCCAGCTGAGAATGTCGCAAGGCCCACTGCAGCAAGCTTGTACCGGCCCAGAGGAGCGTCCACTCTACCTCTGGGAGTGAGTGAAGAGCCATCCGGAGGATCAAACCGAGCCTATTCAGCTTTTGCAGCAGCCACGCGGCCAAGACATGCCGGAGCCTACACCGATGGGGAACCACCAGCAACTGACGAGACCACCAAAGCTCTCCAGGCAATTGCCAAGGCCGTTACCTCCAAGGATGAAGCTGCCAGTCATGACAAAGGTAAACTGGCTTCCATTGGGAAGTTGGAGGAGCGGTTGATGTACTTGGTTCGGGGATGTGATTCGCTGACTGTACCGCTTGGTGCAGCCACAGTCGGAAAGGAGTTATACCACTCGCTCCGAGCCACCTCTACCCAGGGTAGGTTCCCCGTTAACATCAACAACCGGGTCGCCTATGGCATCACCTCACTCAGTTTTGGTGGTAAGGACTTGAAGTCCCTCCCGGACTACTGCTTGTCAGCAGCGGATTTTCCACTAACTTCGGAAGAGGAGTTCGATGGTTGGTCGGGCTGTGCTGATATGAAGTTGGAGAAGAGACCAAAACCACCTATGACACTGAATGCTTGGAATGCCTTGCGACAAGCCTGGGCTATATCCTGTGTCTTAGGTACAGAGCATTACTCCACCTTCGAACAGGCAGCCTCCTACCTCCTCAAGCTGGGTGAAGAGCATGCCTACATGTGGCCAACCCATGCACTCTGCAGCGTATGGGAGGAGCTTTGGTCGAGGTACGTGGAGGAGTTAAAGGTCCTCGACAGACAACTTCGAAGGGAGATGAAAGAGGATGCGCCCACTTTTGAACGTATCAGGTTCTTTGTGACAGCACCTGGAGCGGATGGAGAACCCTGGCTTCGTCTGCCTAGGACCTTCTTTCTTGAGGACCCCCATGAGTACTTTCAAACTGATGTTCTCCCTCGACACAATCGCCTGCTATCCAGGGCCTGCTGGCAGGTGGCACTCAAACGAGCACCTCAAGGGGGACTGCATGGAGGAAAGGCTGGAGAGGGAACTGAGGCGTGGGATTCGCGCCCAGGGCCCAAAACCCGGAAGGCAGACCCCTCCAACAAACCTCTGATGGGACCACCGCTCACCACCAAGGAAGCAGCCCGAGCCTTGGATCACAGACCCAAGGAAAGGAAGGGTGCCAAGTACTTGTGCTGGGATTACATGAGTCACAGAGGTTGTAATAAGCCTCAAGCCTGCCCACATTCACATGGGCCCGCTCCCAAGTGGGAATCATTGGATTGGTCAGTCCAGCTCCAGCTTTTGAGACGTGGTGGTTTCAAGGCCAAGGCTCGAATAACAGAAGGCCAAGCCACCGAACAAATGGAAGCCATCCGCAAGGCTCAAGCTGCGAAGTCTCAGGAGATGGTCGATGAGGGGAAAAAGGTCAAGAAGGTTGGAGAGTCCGATCAAGGGGGAGGAAAGACAGACTCCAAAGTTGGTAAAGCCGAGGTTGAGACTGAGAACGAACCTCCAACTTTGAAGCTGGATGATCCACCCAAAGAATTTTTGGATATCTATCCGACTGATCAAGAAGCGGACATGGCGGCCCTACTCCAAGGGCCAGACCTTGAGGTTTACAAAGACCATGATGCTCACAAGACCACCCAAGAGGCTGAGAGCGATCTGAAGAAGTTGGGAGAAGAGGTTCAAGAAAGGGCAGCCAAAATGGAATCTATTGACCGAACTGATCTCACCGATGGATACGATGGGCTGTTGAAAACATACCTCAGCAACCAACTCCTCCTGAAGAAAGAAGCACATCCTGAACTACCCCTGAAGACGGAGGATGTCAGAGAAATCCTGGAACGAGCCAGAACGCAAGGATGCCCCGAACTCTCCACTGCTGCTGACGAAGCGCTGCAAGGCGCTACTACGCTTCGAGCTGGCTATATCGCCAACCGAGGCCAACTCTCCAAGTTGAGGACGGTGTGGGGCACGGCTCTCTTACTTGGGAAGGAGGTGTGTGGGACGTGCTCGACTTCGGAGACAAACTGTGGCCGAGTGGAGGATGGGAGAAGGATCTCCTTTCTGGACATGACCAATCAGGCAGACCTGAAATTCGCCAGTGTCTCCTCCTTCACTGCGCAGCAGGGTACTTGGAAAGAAAGAATGGGAGGACCCCAACTCTCGAGGAAGTCCAAGTTCAGGCCAATGTTCTTCGAAAGGAGCTCATCGCCGTGGCTAACATAGACCACTTCCACTCTCAGTCCCTGGTCAACACTGACAGAAACTTTCCACAAACCTGAGTCAGGCGTGTGGCTAACATAGACCACTTCCACTCTCAGTCCCTGG